CATAGCTTGATCGATCCAGGCAGCAAGGCTCGCGACCAGGACGTTACCACGGCCAATAATACACCGAAACCCTTGGTGCTTCCTGCCGATCACTCGGCAGTTGCGGAATTCGTCATGCAGAGGCAATCCATCTCAAGGTTCGTCCGCGACGCACTGCAGAACGTAGTGGACAAGTAAACGGAACAAGCAGATAAGTACAGTCGAAAGAGCGTGTATGTATTCAAGATAGGATATCGCGTTCTCCTATCGACCGAGGGAATCCGCGCTTCTGCCGTAACCAACCTGGGCGCCAACAAACTTGCTTCACGCTTCATCGGCCCTTTTTGAGTAATCAAGGCTGCGGACGACGCCTACTCCCTGGACATCCCGTCGTTACTTAGACTCCACCCGACTTTTTACGTCGAGCAGCTCAAGCGGTACTTCCCTGCGACGATTCCTGACCCGAGCCAGCAGACGGAGCATGCGTTGGGCGACCAGCCCGACGAGCTTGACGCGCATGAGACCCGTCTGCCCCTGGCGCCCGCTCTCGCGGACGATCACTCTGCCAAGCGCACGCGTCTCCAATCCCTGTAGGCGAGATAAGAGCTCCCGATTCGACTGCCGAAGCTCCGACGTGATCTGCTCAGCCCGCCAGGCACGATCTTCCGCCCGTTCAGCCCCAATCTGAGCGTCCAACGCACGGTTCGAAGCTGTCTCCACCTCGCCCTGGACGTACAGGGTACGTCGTCTCACCGTGAAGGCCCACCATCGATAATTGACTCAGTGGGTGAAGCGCGCTGGATTGTAGAGCGTATCGTTGGCCACAAAGATCCCCACAACTCGGCTGCTCAGCGTAGCGTCTGTAGGCGTGCTCCTCGCGCGGCCCCGACCGCGGTCCGCTATCTGGTACGTTGGCTCGGTTATCCGCCAGAGCATGATACGTGGGAGCCCCGCGCCAACCTTCTCCGCGACGTCCTGGACGCGGTCCACGAGTATGAGACCAAGCTGTTTGAGAGGTAGAATTTTGCGGGTCACTCCGCCGTGATCGTGAACGAGATCGAGAGCGCTCACGCGAACGACCCGCACGAGGAGGCGACAACGACGCCGTGCTCCGACGCTTGCAACGTCGGCGCAAGCCTCAGCGAATACTGACACAACTTGTCAGTGCAAGAATGAAATCACGAAACCACCGGCGACATCGAACCGATGACCAGTGGGTTGTCAACCCGACACACTACGACTGTGCCAAAATGACTTCAATTACTAGCGGCGACACGGTGGTCAACAAGTACCTGTTTTTGGCGACACCAGTATTGACAACGTGATGATCACTTGGGTTGATCAAGTGGTTGACTTCCGTCGACAAGTCTCATGTCTTCGAGTTGTCCGAAGCCATTCCGCACTGGCAGCAAAAACAACACTCGAGTGTACGTGAGTGGATCCACCTGGTGGGAATCGAACCCTGGCGTCCTGACTGGAAGCCCCATGCATCGACCACTGCGCCACGAAGTCGGATACGTGAGGTTCCTCGTGTCCGTGATGCAAGTGTCGCAAGCTTGGAGTCTTCTAAGGCGTATGTGCGCTGGGCGCTTCGTCGATGTCTGTCTTGGGAGCCAAGAGGCACAGTCCCGGTCCTCGCAGTACATCCAGAGCTCGTGGTGCACCTGTCGATCCTGGACTTGCCCTTGTTACTACCGCCAGCGTCGCGCTGGCGCCACCGCCCTTCGCGCTGTCTCCGATGTCTCCACCTCGTCGGCTTTCGAGTTTTCTTCAAATGTGTTCCGTGCGCTTATGTTGCGTAAGCGCAACTTTTAGATGAGGGTAATGTAATGGGCCCAGCTCCAATTACATAAGTAGGTAGATATTTCTTTCGCTATTGCATAAGTAGGAAAAATGGCACACGGGTAGCGTGTGTCAAGGTGTCATCGTTTGATTGGTTGATAGTGAGGAGCCAGATTCACTTATTGACCAATCAGAGTAGACATGTGTTTGAGTGGCCCACATGAGGCCAGGGGTAGCCGCCCTGGATTTAATAAATTAGAGTTGAGTTTGACACAACCCTAAGACTTGGTTTTACTATTGCGAGCTTCCTTCGCACTATAGTGTAAGCTAGTGACGGCAACTTTTACCCCGTTACAGTCCGACTCGTTCTTCGTTTTTCGCTCGTCGTTCGAGTCGCCACCACCGTCCGTGCAATCCGTTGACAAGCTGCCCAGGTCCCACGCTAGCACTCTCATTCACTCCGAAACCCACACATGTCCCGTAGTGGTGTCGTTTGTGCTCGCGCCGCCGTGATCCTCCACCCGTCACCGTCTTGGTCGTTCGGTAACAGCTAATACAATAATGCGTCTGTCACTGCCTTTGTTCCTCGTTCTTTGTTCGTCTTTTGTTTGTCTTTCGTTCGTCTTTCGGCACTCGTCTGAGCCACCACTCCGTCGCCCGTCGCAAAGTTCGTAGTCTTTCCACTTCGCTGCAGATTCCAGAGTGAGCGCTTGACCACTGTACACGTTCTCCGCTCTCTTCGTCCGCTCAGCTTCTTCAACCACTCTCGTCTTCCGCGCGAAGTCCGTGCCGCTCATCACGGTCTGTCGTCAGCCCTCGTACTACTATATCCGGCGGTCAGGACCGCACACGGGTGATATTTCCAGATCGTACGACCCTTCATCCGTGCTCTGAACGGATACGGTAGCTGGTCGTCTGTTCACGGCTTCGGCTCGTCCAAGATTGCCACGGCCCGCGTCTTCCTATTTGTCTTCACCACTGGTCGTCGTTATCGACATCCTCTTACGATGCATTTGAATTTGAGAAACCCGTCCATACAAAATGGGGGGGGTTATCGTCCCTGTCTTTGTCTGGGACCGGGACCCCGTCTTTAAAGTCTTTGGCGCATGTAAGGACCGGAGGGGAATAACAGTCCAACCCGACTTTTAACCAATAATATCCAGCTTTTCGCCAGGCCTCAGAGCAACAACACACCACACATCCGCAGGAGTCAAGCCGAGATGCGTTGCCACCGAGCCTTTCGGATGTACGCAAGTGACAATGGAGAGAGCATCTCTAAGAAAGCAGCAGCATTTGCACAACAGCAAGCTGCACAAGAGCAACCAGGCGCTAACAAGACCGCTGAAAACTGGCTTCGTAGTCGTGTAGGGCATTCTCCCAAAGATGCCTAGGCTTAACGAGCCCCCTGTAACAAGGCAGAAGTACTACTTGAAAACCCTTCCTCTTGAAGACTCACCTACAGGCTTTCGCGATGGTCGCATAGACCGTATCCGCTACCCTAGAATGATATGCGCCGACGTCGAACGTCCTCAAATCCTCCAAAACAGCTTCTGTGAAGCTCAAGTCAGGACACACATCGACCCGTCGGTAAGCGAATAGCTCAGAGGCTTCGAGAGGCAGCGCAGAAAGCTGCTACGAGCGGCAATTGACGCGGAAACGACGGCGTTGGCGTTCGCCACGAAACGGAAGGACATCCGCCAAGTTATTTCTCGTTCGGCCGCGTTAGTGGAGTTTGGGAGGTCAAATCGCGGTGATTGAGCCCGCGCAAGTAAGAGCCTCGGTTCTGAGCGTTATAGCGGAAATGGACATGCATGTAAAGGGTGCAGCGACACAAATCGTCATGTATTCGTACAATGAAGCAAACGATGCGTTGCTTCAAATGCAGACGTGCGTTATCAACACAAACACATCTCTTGAGAAGTACGTACGTGATGCAACAGAAACTAGCCGCATATTTGCAAGTATTTATAACGGTAGAGAAAATTATACAACCAAGACAACAAAGCATTTGAAGAACTTGTTTTTGGATGGGAGAAGAGAAAACGGAAGAGATTTTACAAGGAATTGGAGGTCTGCCTGCAAATATTACCCTGGTTAATTCTGCAGCACAGCATCAATTGGCGATAGCAACGACAGTGAGTGATGCAACTGTTGCCCCCCCCCTCATAATCAAATTCGTTGGGTGAAGTTGCCCGAGGCGTTAGTGCTGATGTAGCCACCGCTGCACTTGGTGGTGATACATCTAGTGGAAGCAAAGATTGTGGGAATGAGCCTGGCAGTGATGAAGATCTAAATGTGAGTGTAGCAATTGCTGTTGACAGAAACAGCGATGCAGAATTTTCAAGTAGTGGAGATATGGAGATTGATGAGTCTAGCAACTCTGATGTAAGCGTTTTCGAAGATGTCAATGTGGGCAAAGCTGACACAAGTGTTTCGCATTGTCTTTCAGGAAACGCTTTTCAAAGAATGACGCTATCGGGAGCATGACGCTATCGGGAGCCCTGGCCACGCACAATCACCCCCACGACCGGTAGGTGGAAACGTAGAATCTTCACGATGCTAGGCCCAGTGTAGGTCTGTGTGTCAAGCTGCCCATCGTGGTAGCTTAAGCCATGATATCGTGTGTGTGTTATTGCGTCCTTCGCGTGATGGCACTGTTGCGATATGTGTCATAGTGTGAGCTAACTTGACTCCATTGTTGACCGACAGCTTTGGGTGCTTCGTTAAACTTTAATCAACGATAGGAAGTTTGAAAACCCGGCTTGAGCCAAAGCAACCACGGGTCGCTAAAGCTCCCAAACACACATTAACAAATGCCAGGAATAATAGCTACCTTGATATATGTCAAAGAATTTACACTGCACCTATAGTCTCTCGCTGTGTTTCATGAGCTGAGAGCAATGCGATTATGACTTGCCTCCCAGAAACTACTCTACCCAAAAGTCACACACCAGCCCGACCATTAATAAGTACGATCACACAATTGTCAAACAAATTCTTGCTAACTTACATTTAAGTTTTTGCTTAAGTCTCAATGGTTTTTCGATCTTCCTTTTGCAAAATCCTACATGTACACATTTTCCAGTCCAAATTGATCAAGAGCAAGTTACATTCATCAAATACAAAAGCAAGATTACAAAGTGCAAATCGAATTGAGCATGTCTGTTAAAAGAGGTACTCTGTGAGAATTTAAAAAGTGTGAGAATGAGTGTAGAGACACCTCAGGTAAGCACAACGGCTTAGGTCTTCACGGGCATGTCCTTCAGGTCACTTACCTTTGCGTGGAAACGAAGCGTGTGCCGATAAAAATTGCGACAGCTAGCTGCGATAGTCACCTCCGGGAGGTATTGATTGGCAGCCGTTTGGAGGAAATACTGACGATGGTCCTTCATGGTCACACCGGGAGGAACATCAAGAATTTGGCGTCGGTTTTCTCGCTTAAACGCTTTCACCGATGACTTGAACGAAGAGAACACATTCTCTATCGGGTTCAACATCGGTGAATAAGGACCGAGACGAAGCAGTTTTGCGTCTAGAAATTCGTCCTCTTCAAAGACGCTTTCAATGGCACGACGCGTTGTCGAGCACCAGCACAACATCAGCTAGCGTGAGTTCCGACGCGTCCCGAATGTGGCGCAGAAGCGAGCGAATGAAGTCATTCGTGTTGGCGTGGCGGTTTGAACCGAATTTGGTCTCGTAATATACTAATCCGTTCTCGCTAATGCAGGCGATGACGTGTATGTTTTGGTCACCGCCAGCAAACACCTTCTTCACTGCACGGCGGCCACGTAGACTGCGCCCACGCGTACGTGTAGACCACAAGTTAAAATTTGCTTCATCCATGTATAGGATGACCTTTCCCATAGCTTGGTACTCCTGTAGCTCAGCAAGATATGTCCGGCGTTTCTGCTTGTTTGTCATAGTGTTCATGTATTGCGGTTCCTTGTGCATTTGCTTCAACGTGAAACATACTGCGTTAACGTGTCTCTTTACAGCTTAAGGAGCCACGACGACGCCGTGCTCGTGCTCAAGAGCGTCTGCAAGCTGACGCAGCGTGAGGTCGGGGTCATCACCTAGCTTCTTAAGCCAAAACGCTAGACAAGCGTCTGTCACCTTGCCTCCCCGCTTGCCGCCTCGCGGATGAGCAAATATCTCCTCTCCACGCGTAACGTGCTTGGCTACCCACGCTCGTGTGGTGTTGTAATTAACACCAAGCTCCTCAGCGGTCTCCTCCCACACACCTCCCCTTCGCGCGACCTCCAGGACTCGAAGCTTGGTCTCCAGCGCGTAGCGCGCGTAGCGTCTTGGCATCTTTGTTGGTTTTAGCTGCTCCGGAAGTTGCAAAATGGAAAGTGAAAGCCTCAATAGCGCGCAGTGGTGGCGTTTTGGCGCGAGCCGGACCTCGCATAATACTAGAGAAGGCAAAATTGGCGCGAAATGAGCTCTTCCTTGGCGCGCTTAGACGTTGAAGATCGCTGGTTTCGTATCCTGTACAGCCTGATTCGAGCTCACTACACCTGATTTATCATTTAAAAAGGGTTATTGATGAACTTGCAGTTGCGTTTCATAATTTTGCTTTTGTATTTAATGAATGTGACTTGCTCTTGATCAATTTGGACTGGAAAAGGTGTAGTGGAAAAGTGAAAGTGGCGGGAAATGTTTTTATGGTGTATTAAAAAAGTGGCATTTTTAAAAAAAAAATGAATGGCAGCATGACATCGACAGCCCAAAATTAACTCAAATTGAGATATTCTAAGCCGACCAGGACATGTTGGAAACACACAATTCATCCCACGGCGACGTTGGCCATGGAAGCTCGCCGGCGAAAGAGTTGTCACGACTTAGTGCGAGCTGCAGCTACTTGCTTATCAAATGCTGAAGGCGATCAGGCAGTACAACGTCGAATGTCTCTGGATCTAGTTTCCGATCGCGGTCTAACCAAAGCTAGTGGATTGATCGACAGCATGGACTCGTTGTACGTATCAGCTCGACGATCTTCGACAAATCCGCTGGTGAAACCTGTGGGTACTCCTCCACGACTCAACGTAAGTGGCGGCAAAGCGTTGCGTCGTGCTCGGTCAATTCGAGTTGTCTACTTCAAAGAGAGTTTCTACGAGGTGTATGGCTATTTGGGGCTCGTGATGTTACTGGCGTTCACACTATCACTGCTTGCAATGCTGTACATGACGGTGGTGCAAGTCATTCCCAATTGGACAGCGAATTTTCTCATGGGGACGGATACACTGGATAACGGCGAATTCCTGCTCATGTCCAAGCCTTCCCTCACTATCGTCGTGACGTCCACGTTGATGCTGTCGGTGTTTGCGTGTTTGTATCTGTGGTTGATAGTCTTCATGCTCTCTTACAATAGCGAGACAACCGTCAAAAATCTGTCCCGAGCTCCAGACCCAAAGTCGCTGAGCTATCGTCTGTCACAAAAGTTCCTACCACTTTTGAGACGCTTGCAAGCTCAAACGGGAGGTGCACCGAGAGAGAGGACAGCCTCAGTTCGACACGCTTCGTCCAGAGTAAGGTCGTTCGAGAACCTCAAAAATCTGAGTACAAAGTTCGGACGTACGTCGTCGTTTGGATCACATACAGCCAGCAGATTGATCTCCGATTTTACCAGCATGGAGGGCACATATCATTGCTACTATGTAAGTTTTTATTATATTTTATCAATTTTCTAGTAACTAATACTTTAATGTCAGGATGCTTTGTTGGATTTCCCGAAACTGATCCTTCAGACGATGAGTCTTACGACTTATCTAAGCAAAGGCTTCCCTCTGCCAATCATCTTTTTTTACGTGCTGCCACTGGGTTTCAACTGGTTAATCTCATTCTACAGATTTCAGCGAACCACACCAGACCCGACGCTGCTTGTTGCTCGAGTTTTCTACCTGTAAGAATTCATATCCCGTGTAACGTTTAACCAGACTAATGCAACCTAAACGAAATACTGCAGATTCGATCTCTTCTTCGCGGTCTTCGCCCCAATTGTCATGTTAATGTACTCGTACTACAATTTCCACGTAGATCGCGACAACTTTATCATACGCGAGGAAACACTCACTCCAGGCAGCTTTGATCGAATCGCACGGCTGTTTGCCGATCCGATCCAGGTTCAACTTGTTAAAACGAGTTTCACCAATCTTCAGATTACGGAAGGGGAGTATATCCTAGTCAAGTGTTTCTTGAACCTTCTGGGGATCTACAAGTGGAAGAAAGTTATCGCACACCTCATTCTGGCTAATCGCAGTCGCCGGCAAGCCAAAAACGCAAGCGCCAAAGCTCGTGCGCATCCTCACTCAAGGAAGCACACGGTCATTGGAGGGTTTATCTTTATCTGCTGCAGCGTGGGTATCGCAATCTACACGGCTCTCTCTATCTCGACAGGCATCGAAAACTGTGCCCCTTATCGGCATTGCCCGGTTTACTCTTATCACTGGGACTGGGGACAGAAATCCACGTGTCGCTGCATTGTTTTCATGGATCTGGACTTGGCACCGAGAACGTACAACGACTGGATCAATGCACCTGACGTGACGGAAGATTTGCGTGCACTGGCGTCGAACGGATATTTACAAATAGTGCAAATTATCAATCGAGCGTTGCCCGAACTTCCTGAAGAGCTTCGATTGTGCAAGAACTTGAAAGAGCTGTGCGTTGTCATTGCTTTGGGCTGGTTCAGAGGTGTCCTGACGCACCATCTTGTCTGTCTAGGATACTTATCTACACGAAGACACAAAGATTTCCTGCGTGGACGAAAGAGTTCACTCGCTTAGAGTATTTGTACGTCGTGTCTGGATACTTAGTTGCTCAAACTGTACGACTAATGCTGCTCTTACTCATCGTACAGACATATTGAGAATGATCTCATCCACTCAAGTCTGGAGCACCTACCACTCGACATGTTCTCAAATATGCGCAATCTCCGTTTCCTTCGAACGGGAGGTATCACTGCGATGACTGAATATCCATCTCTCGCGGGTTTGCACAAGTTATCGACCCTCGTATTAACGATCATCCATGGTTTGAAAGAGCTGCCCAATCTCGACGATCTCTCCGGATTAACCGCCCTTTACATCGCCGATGCTATCCACATCCACAGTCTTCCCTCTCTAAAGGGTCTCAAGAGTCTCAAGAACTTTGCTGTGTTCCGACGTAACGAAATCTGCTGCAACGGTTGGGCTACCGGGTATTGTGACCTGGCCAACTTCCAATGTCTACCTCGAGCGAACGAACATTTAGTGCAATGTATGAGCGATCGGATTCCAGTCGAAGACCAGGATATTATTGATCGCGCTAATGGCTTTTTGTGTGGGAAGAATATTACGCAAGACGTGCAGGCATCCGAGCCAACACTGGAATCCACGGATGCAATGTGTCAAGGAGTGCTGTATCGAGAGTGCAACATGAACGGGATTCGCGGTATCTGCTACAATGGCCGCATGCAAGTTGTGCACTGCGACGTGTTCGGAGAGTACGAGAAGATGCGTCGTCTGCAGATTGCTAGAGGTGTGGGCGATCCTTGCGATCCGGAAGAGGAGAAATGGCTAGGCTGTAGCTGATGTTGCATTCGGCAAAACTTCAATGTTGCGATAAATTACAGCCAATCAAAGACGGTAATTTAACGAAATAATGTCAACTGATTGGTCTAAAATCAGCGTTAAACGAGAATCATCGTGACAAATGTCCTTCACACATTTTCACTTCCTGGTTCACAATGCTCCGTGTGCTTGGCCAGCGTCTCCTGTCCCGCACAGGCTGCGCCCAAGCCCCGCGTTTTATCCATGCATCAGCCGTCGCACTGCACGGTGACATGTCCAAGTTTGCCAACAATCCGACGTACGCTGACCACGCAATTCCATGAAACAGTAGACGACACTTAACGCTTCCTTCACTTATATTATTGGCAGTGTGCACATCAAATTCAAGCTGGCCGACGACTCCATCAAGGAGGTGGAAGCGAAGACGAGCATGTCTCTTCTGGACGTAGCGCAATTCAACGATATCGACTTGGAAGGCGCCTGCGAGTCGTCCATGGCCTGCTCCACCTGTCACGTGATCTTGGAAGACCCCGTGTTCGATGAGCTGGAAGAAGCCTGCGAAGACGAAGAAGACATGCTGGACATGGCCTTCGGTCTCACTGATACGTCCAGATTAGGTTGTCAAGTGTTCGTCACCGAAGACTTTGAGGGCACCACAGTGTCGCTCCCCAAAGCCACACGTAACTTCTACGTCGACGGCCACGTACCCAAGCCACACTAAGTTCTCTGCAACTGTAATGAAGCCATGCACGGTGCAGCCCTCGACACGTTTATTTAGATTCAAGAGAGCTTCAGTGACGCGACATAAATAAAGGATTTTGGCTTGATGCATACTTGCTAACTACATTCGTTGCTTGACTCAGGAGCAGCTCCAGCTTGGTAGCTTCCCGTCGTCTCCGGTTGCTCTCGGCTTGGCGAGCCGACGACTTTGACTTCCAGTTCAGTCTCCAGCTCCAGTTCCAGCGAAAACGCAGCGTGGTTCTTCGGCGGCGACACACTCATAGGGACGACAGGCGAGCCACCTGGAGTCGAGACGGCACTTGAAGTCGAGCTGACTGTACTTCCAGGGTTGGCGTTCACTCCAAGTCCCGCTGTATTGCAGACGTACTCGACAGCCGCATGGACGCAGTAGACGTAGTACGACTCTTCCCCATTGGCATTGTCGGCAGTGATAGCAAAGTTCTCGAGAAGATGCAGCTGCGCGTGGATAGTGGGCAGTCGACAGTGCACCAACACGTACGCTAACAAGGGGAAGAACGTTTCCACCGAGAACTGCGTCGTCCCCAGCACGAGCGCCGCTTCATGGTGTAGAATCACGACACCATGCATGAGTTCATCCAGCAGATCACACGGCACGACACTCTCCATGCTGTTAAAAGCTTCGATCGCGCGTACAAGGAACACGCGACGCTGACACGGACTGTTGCTGCCATTACTGGGTCCGCGGATCCGGTGACTGGGTAGACTAGACCGGATTTTGTCGACCAGCTCGGGTGACACGCCTAAGTTCTCCATCGGTAGCCCACCGAGCTCGACGCATTTCTTACGCCACAACTTGTCCTTCCTCTGACAATCACGGGTGGCTCGTTGGTTGAAGCAGAGGACAGCAATACGCGGGAATACCGTCCGTTGGATGAAGACGTCCAAGCTCTTGCTCACGTCTGCAGGGACATCAAACTCTCGACGTACGCGACTTGTTAGTCGCTCCAAAAAGTCGAGAATCTGCTCCGGTGGCGGGTCTTTCGTCCACGAGGCTTGTTGGGTTGTGTTCGAGTGATATCCTAGCGTGGAATTAGTGCGAGAACGCAGTCCTCCGCGCTCGTTTTCCTCGAGTTCTTCGTAACTCACAGCTGCCACATCTTTGGACAGTTGCAACACCCACTGACAGATCCGCGAGTTCCTGGACGAGAAGATGAGGTTCTCGAAATGCGCCTGTGCTACCTCCCACCAGTCCGACTGACACATTGACTCGTTGAAGTCGGAATAAAACTCTTCTCCCGCCAGAACGTCCAGGATTTTATCTACTTGGAGCTCCTGCAGTCCACCCGAGCTGGGAGCCGATGACACACTCGAATCAGAGGCTGATGCCACCCCCACAGACGTCGACGCGGCTTCTTCCCGTGCGTTACGTTGCACTAGTCGGTACCAGCTCACCGCTTCGAGCAGTTTGGACAACATGACGCTCTTCACATGAGGCTTCTCGAAGCAATCGTTGCCGTTGTGGAGCTTGGCTTGAGCGACAGCATGTCGACGTTGAGTTGCGCTGGTCACGAGCAACTTGAGCTGCTGACACAGCACCGTGTACTTGATGTCGTTGGCCAGCATCGCGTCGGCGGCTTCGAACGAGTCCAGTTGCCGCTCTGTCAGCTCCAAGTCCGGGTTGTGTGCAGTCACGATCTGCAAGATGCCACGCACGTGTCGCCGGTGTCTTTGTAGTTGATTCAGCGCTCGATGCGACACAGCCATTCCCAGTTTCTCGGTCAGAAACGCCAAGCCGTCAGCTTGAGACGCTCCATTCGTGCGTGCACCACACAGCAAACTCCACATGACATTGGCAGGCGCTGCTTGGTGTTTCATCGACTTCCTGGCACTGCGTCGTGCTTGATTGAGACGTTTATGCTCCTCGGCGATGCGTGTATCCATGTCCTGTAGACTTTCTTGTAATTTGGCTCGTAATCTGGCCGACGTCGGAGGAGAATGAGGACGATCCAGACTGTCGACATCGGACGACGATGTAGGACTGAGACTGAGTCTCGTGAGCTCTCCACCGCCTTGAGGGTTCTCTAAAAGTGAAGCTCGGTCGCTAGTGAAGTGGTGATCTGGAGGCACCGGCACGAGTCCGCCGTTGAGGTTCATAGTGTGACGCATCCTGTTCCACTGAGCGAAGCCAGAGCTACTGCAGACGCTGCTGTCGCCGCTCACGCCCATGGCGGCGTGGCGGGCGTAGAGCGGACTGTCAGCTGCTTCTTCGCTCGTGTCAGTCGTGCAGGAATACGCGAAGGAGCCGAACAGACGGCGATTATTGAGTCGTTGGCTGTCGTCTTCCTCATCCGTCGCCTTGTAACTGCAGCAGCTCTCACCCAGTGTAGTCGTAGCCGTGGCATTCATTGGAGAACACATTACTTCGTAAAAGGAGCTGGCGCGAGCACGCCGCGCGTGGCCGTAGAAGCTCTCGATAATGGGGTGAGTGGCCCAGTCGGGCGATACCCAGACAGCGGGTGCGCCCACTTCTCCCTGATCTCGTGACCGTCTCCGTCGTGTGGGAGACGAGCCTGCGCGGCTCTTTCGGCGCAGCGCTGCCTCCTGCTGGTGAACCTGCACCTGGACGCCGTCGTGCGAGGGCATCGCTGCTAATAAATTTGTGTGCTAGAGAGCGCTCTGCTGCACGTCTCCGTTGTCGACCCGTCGCGCTGGAAAAGGTCGCCTGAAAATTCGCCTTTCGGGGCTTGAAAAGCTAGCGGAAGGAGAAGAATATGTGTACGCAGGCTTAGATGAATAATGCGCAGCGTCCAAGCTTTGCTTGACGCTCGATCACCTGCTTGATAAGAGCTTACAGCAGGAGGGTTCAGGGGATCCGTCTTCGTCCGTCTTGGGAGATGGCTACATAAATTACGTTGCAGAGCACCTTAGTAGCAACTTGAACGCAACATAAACGTTTTGATGCAACTTATTGGCAAAAAGTTAAGCAACTTGTGAGCTGACTACATGGCACGTAGGTGAGACTCTCTGCCTTGAACACCTCTAGTGATGGACTCCAGATGGACGCTGCTCGACAAAAGTACTGGTGGTATTGGCGAAGGAAGGCTTCACGACAGGAAGCGCTGTTGGCTGCATGCTCGACGATGTCGTGCTGTCTACTCTTTGTGAGCGCTGGTGGTGCAGAAACCTGAGCACGGATTGTGCAAATTGTGATGCATTCTCGGGGCGATTTTTTGGTCAGCGAAAACGGTGATGACCATCAATGGCAAAATGCATCTTTACATACAATTGCCTTTCACACATGCGGTATCATACCGCCGGTATAAGTTTTATTTGCTTGGCAAGGCGACTTCGTCCATGGTCACCAAGTTGGTGAGACCATTGAATGTCGCCTACAGTATCCACAGTCAAAAGTGGTACCACTGTGACGTAGCTTACAGCAGCTATTTGTCTATAAATGCAATTATAATCCTAATTTCGTAATGCCAACTGTTTATACCTTACATTTACCAAGTAAAAGAAACCCTGACTGCAATTATGACCTCTATAGAGTTACTGCGGCAGGGGGGACACTCAATTCTGCAGCGCGGTTTGTTGTAAGGTTGCGCTCTCGAAAGGCGAGAACTCAGGCAGGCGCTCGCTCCTCGCCTACAGGACCGACCGACGGACGCCCCGTAGCGCGAGCACCATGAGCGACATGCGGCTGTTCATCTACCGCAATGAGGCGGGCTCCGAGGGCAAGGTAAGCCGTTAAGAAAGACAGGAGAGACCACCGCTACGGAGACCAAAGGAGACTCATGCTCTGTAATCGCAGGTGATGAACCTTAAATCCAAGGACAGCATTGCACGACTCAAGAAGGTGGCGAGTAAGAAGCTGGGTGTGCGTGCCAAACGGCTGTTCTTGGCCAGCGGAGCAGAGATATCGGACGTGGACGAGCTGCAGAACAATGACACGCTCTACGTATCACAGGGTGAGGCTTTCTACAAGTCCCTCGGTACGTGAACTGCCCTGCATAATTATAGTCACAGCATGGAGACTTACAGATTAATATCCTCGCGTTGAAAAGGCCCTGCAAATGGACAAGAGACCTTCCACATGTCCGTGTTAGGCTCAGGTGGTGTTGGCAAGAGTGCACTCACGTTGCGCTTTGTGAGAGACTATTTCGTCAAAGACTGGGACCCGACCATTGAGGACGCATACAGGAAAGCTATCACGGTAGACGATGGACTTTGTATGCTCGAGATTTTGGACACTGCAGGACAAGATGTACGTCCAGTGCTCTGATTAAGGGGTTAAACTCGACGACTAAAACGAGCTTACGTTGCGCTGAACAGGACTTTGAGTCGTTGCGAGGGCAGTGGATGATGGACAAGGATGGTTATGTTTTTGTGTATAGTATGGACTCACGAATCTCTCTTCATGTACGCAATGCTTATCTGCGTACCTGTGCGACCTCCTTGTGGGAGTCATGAATCGATAGAGTGCTCATCTTTTGGTTTTTTTTGTAGGAATTGCAACCATTTTTCGACCTGCATCTCCAGATCAACGAGAGTCGTCGTCCTCTACCTCCTATTATCCTCGTGGCTAACAAGAAGGACGTGGTGGATCGTGACCCAAGCAAGTGCCAAGTGAGCACGGAAGAAGGTCGACGGATAGCACACTCGTACAACGCGCGCTACATAGAGACGAGTGCGCTGACAGGAGCCAACGTGACGGCCGTATTCGAGACGTTTGTGCGTGAAGTGCGTCGAAAGAAAGTGCCCAAGCAAAAGAAGAGCTCGTGTTCCATTCTGTAGCGATACTGGAGTGCAAGACGAGAGATCGAGAGCGTGTGTCGGTCGGTGTACTCGCAGACAATCGGGCATCAACTCCAGTGTCTCGAACAGGCCAACTGCGGTGGTGGACGAAGCGAGAACAGGACACCCGAGGTGCCAGTATAGACACTACCATTAGTAAATAGACAGTAGCAGGACGTGGCGAGATGGCTGCGACGACGAGCATCGCAGTAAGCGGGTGGGGGCAGTGCATTATAGCGAGCAGGACGGCCAGCTAATGTAAATTTTCATTTTTGACGACAAATATCACTTTTTCTGCACTTTTAAGTTGCGCAACTTGACAATGCAACTTTTTATTAAAGTTTCTCAAATCTGTTTAAAATTTAAACCCGCGAAAAAGGCACTAGAAAAAAACAGAATGGGCGACGCCGTGCTGCGCGTGCGCCACCTCCAGGGCCTTGCACGTGAGAACTGGCGGGCCCTGGAGGAACAACATGCGTGCAACGTATCGCAGCTGCGGAACGAGCTGGCGGAGATCTCGCGCTCGCTAGAAATCAAGGCGCGCTTTCAGTCCAGGCCGACGGTAATTCCATCGCCTTATCCCAGGTAAACCAAGGCTCTAATGCTGCTATTGACGGCCGATTACAGTGCCAGAGACTCATATTTGTTTGTATACGCGTTCCACTACTGGAATTTTACGCTGTAGTCTTCCGGAACCCGCGCCTGAAGCGCAGCCAGTGAAGAAGAAGCAGAAGATCGAGATGCAGCCGGAAGATGCGCCGCCTGCGGCCGTACAGAAGCCAAAGAGAATGAGTACAAGACTGTCGATGCGTCTGCGTGCGAGAGCTTTGAGTGTGGACGTGTGTGTAGACCACAAGAAGACGAGGAAGAGAGGACGTCTCTCTGAGGGTTTGCTGCGAGACACTTGGAAGCTCAAGGTGGCGGAATTGCGGTCGGAACTGAAGAAGAGAGGGCTGCGCACTAGTGGCCTGAAGGCTGCGCTGCTCAATCGACTACTGGACGCGCTACAAGACGAGCAGAGAGAGGAGGCAAGTCACTTGCACCAACTGCCAGAGGAGCGAGAGGAACGCGCCGAACAGCAGAAAATAATTGTCATTGACGGTTCAGACGAAGAAGATGAAATTGTACGAGAAAGTATTGGGTCCAACAGGTCGCCACGGAGTCAGTCGACGTCTCCAAAAGCTGCAACAGAAGAAGACAAGAGCGAGGCCGAGTCCACTGCGAAGGAACAAGCAGCGAAGCGCAAGGAAGCGCCGCAGAATGACGCAACAACAAGTCGCTCATTACAGCGAGAAGAAGCGTCGTCTACTGCGCTAAAGGCTGCGCAAACTGCCACGGATGGAGACACGCAACGGCCTTCTGAGGCGAATGATGAAAGCTTCAGACACGTGATGGATCTCAGGACTTCGAACAAGGCGAACGAGCTCGTTACAACCAAGTGGACGCGACAGTCGATGCAGGTCAGCAAGACGAGAGAAGTTGCGAGTCCTTTAGGGTGGAAGAGGAAGTCGATTCTACGGAAGACGTCGTCGCTAGCGCCGAACTCTCGGAATGACAGGAAGGTCAGCTTTGCGCCGAGTTGCCAGGTGGATATCATCGTTGAGAGCTCTCAGACGGAGTCCACGCAGCCAGATCCCAGCCCAGAGAAGCCTCCGTCGCTACATGGAGCAGCTGAAGCGCACAATCCGGAAGAAGAGACCCCGAAGACTCGGTCTGACTCACGACAGGACGCTGACTCGACGCCAACTGCCGTCAGCACTCCTGTAGCTACTGCAACGCCACCTGAGGACCCTTCTACCCAGGTAGTACACGAACCAGAGACTAAGGAGCAGCGGAGGAAGCGAGAGTTTAATGAGAGCGTCCAGCGTGAGGCGCAGAAGCTTCGCGCGGCTGCCAAGTTGTCGGCTCAGAAGCGTCTTGAAGAAGCCAAAGCCAGCAAAGCGTTCTGGGCCAAGCGCGACCAGTTGAAGGCCAAGTTGCGAGCTTCATCCGTTGGCGACAAGCGTAAAAGCGCTCTGACGCCCGTGGCGTCTGATAAAGTGTCCGATCAAGTGTCTCCATCCACGTCGACTAGTGCCGAAAGCGTGTCGTCGAGTACGAAAGCCACGAGTCTAACTGCGTCCGCGTCAAAGGAGGACACACGACCTCAACACACAGCGGCGCTCACTCGAGAGGACCCGGACGAGGAGAAAGCTCGCGATTTGACGCCTTCCACGGCTCGCCTAGAGGCGGAAAGCATCTCGGACGTGTCGTCCGTCCTTGAACGCTCGCGACACGAGGGTACAGCAGCCAGATCCATGTCTTCCTTCATGGAAGACACGCAACACGCCGATCGATCGTCGTCTCTTCGAGCTGCAGATAAAGCAACAACTACGTCCACTGTAGGAGCAGCCACTGACTCGTCCGGGCAGCGATTACAGGAGTCTTCGTCGTTAGCGACCGTGCAGAGGAGCTCTAAGAGCACTAAACGGCCGATTCCACAGATGGTGGAGACGCTGGCAAACCGAGACAGGTCGGACTCATTGTCGTCGACGGTCTCGTCGATTCCTGAGCCTTCGGTGGTGGAGAACGCTCTGAAATCCGGTACGGCGACGGCTGCCAGCAAGAACCGCCGGCCAATCGCGAACCTGGTCAGTGGGCTGCACTCTTTGACGTCTTTACTGGAGAAAGACAAGGCGCAACAGAGCAGTACAAACCGCAGTGCTCCCGTGGTGAATGCCCTGAAGCTGGCGGAGAAGTCGCGCGTCGCTGAAGAGAAGAAGCGACTGGAAAAAGAGCGACGGAAGGCGCTTCTGAAGAAGAAGATGGAGGAGCACAAGAAGGCGGCGACACTTAAGGAGAAGGCCGAGAAGGACGCCCAGGCCAAACGGGAACAGGAGCGCTTGAATGAGCGGAAGAAGCGAGAAGCCGAACTCGCGAGAAGACGCCAGCAGAAGCTCAAGGAGATGCGCGCAGGTTTGGAGAAGAAGCGGGCGATGTTGGCAGCTGAGAAGAAGGCGGCGGCGGCCACCAAGTCTGCGACTGCAGCTGCTAAACCTCGCGGACTGGCGAGTGCGTCGGAATCGTCTCAGTCTACTGCAAAGCCAGTGTCAAACCTTGCGTCGAATCCGGTGTCTAGGCCGATACCGAAGCCTCTTACCTCCCAGTCGGCTCCAGTATCGAAACCAGCGCCCAAGCCGGTGTCGAAGTCTGCGTCTAGACCACCTTTGGCGTCCCCTGTGCCCTCGAAACACCTGCCTAAGAGCCACTCGCCCGAGATCGTGAATTATGAGATGTCGGACAACGCAGAGTCTTCGGGAGGTGACAGCGACTCGGACACGGGGCGTCACGGCAAGAAGAAGGTGCCCAGGTGGGCGCAGAGAGACCATCTCAACAAGATTCTGCACGCGCAGTTCGGCAAGAACGCCGTGGATCCGTCCCCCGCTATCTTCCAGGACTTTGTGGACACGTGCAACCTGGAAGCCATCTTCGAGACGACCGACGTCCACAAGAAGAAGAAGTTCGCGAGAAGAACCAGCAGCGGCAACTGGCTGGCGGACCGCCCCACCGCACGAGACCGAGCCTTGTATCAACGTGACATGGGCTACGATCGGTAAGGAGGTAGAGGCGGGGGGGAGGTGTTGCGACGGTCAAGTTATAATAGTATTTACGAGTTACGCAAGAGAGGGCTGTACGTTTATGCTGCTTTGAGCGTTGATACGCTACGGGAGTTGCCGAGACCTGCTCGCTTCTGCTGCTTCTTGAGACCTGGAAAGGCTGCGTCCACCAGTTTCCGACATGCTGCGTTGTCTCCTTTGCGAGAGAAATACTCGTCGCCTGACGCGAAGCTGCTGGAGCGCCGAGGTCTTGTGTGCATGGACGAGAAGAGCGAGCCTGACGCTGCAGTGGACGACGTGCTGCTGAACCCGTCGAAGGAGCCACTTAGTACGTGCGTGTCTGTAGCAGCCGACGCGAAGATCTTGAAGTCTCCCGACGCGTAGATGCGTAGGATGGTCTCGTCTTGAGCTAATAGATCCATGACGTGGTCGGCCAAGTTCTCTAGTGTCACTTCCATCTTGGACGCAGCAGCAGCAGTACGCGCACGGGTGTCCAGCGCCACGATACAACCGAGAGCGGGGCCGGCAGTCTCGCGAACATCAAACAAAGGAGACGCGCCGAAGAACTGGAACGTGGAGGGATCGCACAACGAAGTTTCGGACGAGATACTAGCGGGATCGGGCACAGTGAAGGCGGTTTGCGTGCTCAACGCTCGACTGCAGATGGACAGGAACGTGGGGTCGTGCAGAACGCGAGGATGGAGTCCTTTGTGCGCGATGACCCAGAGATGAAGGTCCTGGACGAGCACGATGGCTCCACCCACACACTCCAGATAGTCGACAAGCAACGAGCAGACCGAGTGGAGCTTCTGGTTACGATACTGACTGACGACGACGTCGAACTCACGAGTATGTTGAGGCGGGGAAGCCGTGGGTGTAATGGACCAGGAGAAAGAACACGGAGAAGCTGTCGATGCGTCGCTCATGGCCATCGTAGCGAGAGAATCTGCGGATCTACTCAAGTGAAGTCTGGAGCTCTGCACGTCGCCTGCGAACGGCCAGTTGATGTCGCCCACAAGCGTAGGCTTGGTGTGTTTCTGGACGCAACGAGCACACGTGTAGGCCAAGTCGACACCATGTTCCGGGACGTCCACCAAGCAGAATCCGAGACATCGACGACAACAAACATCTCCACACTGCAAGACAGAGAAATACAACAAGAAATTTAAGCCTAAGACTTGTGAAAATAATAAACGAGAGAATGAGCAACTTACAGCTCTGCAGTGATGTTTCCAACGGAGAAGACCGAACTTTTTAGCGCAGATGCCGCATCTCAACACGTGCTCGTCCTTCCTCCATGCAGATAACGAGACTCCGGGCATCACTTTGGGTCCGGATCGAGCGGACTGCGCACAGCTGTAGAGCGCTGGGAAGGAGAGAGGAAGACTATCGGCCATGTGAGTCAAGAGGCGTCTCCTATGATGCAGATAATTGAGAAGTGCCGAGCCGTTGCCAGACCGACCATAGTCAACAGTCGGCAGGCAGTATCGTCGGGAAGTTCCTGTCTTCCAAAATCGGCTCAAGTGCATGCGTTGCCCTTCCAACGGCCCGTCCGTTTGGTAATGTTCCCTGCTCACGGACCGTTTCAAGTATCAATGCAGACTCTGCTTCAAAATCAGCGTGACGTCCTTCATTGCTGCGATAAGAGCAAGTTGGTCGTCGAAGTCGCATTGCCCGAACGAGCGAAGAAGGAGATGCAGATAACGGCCACAACTTTTTATCTGAGCAGGTGGTGGTGTGTCCAGAGAGATGAGCCCCGTCCCTTCCTGACTCAGTGGAGACGGGTGGACATTTGCTAGGACACGGCTCTTTCCTCATATCCCATTGTTCTCCATCGAGCTTATGTGCTCCCATCGAACTTTAGTACCTTAAAGCTTGGTGCTCCATCTCAAGCATCCTCCCATGCATAAGCTCGTCGTTCTCGTTATTAAACTTTTAGAAAAAGAACTCAAAAGGACCGAGATAAAAAGAAAACTTCAGAAGTCTCAAGTTCTTCTACGTGACATCTTTGTTGCTGAACGACAAAAGAGAGAAAAGATACAGCTCAAATTAACCGGCCACGTAGAAACGTTTCTTATCTTCTTAACATCAAGACAAAAGAAACTTTTAATTAAAAGATGTTGTCCTGATACATCAATTGACACGCCTTGGCTTGCAGAGGGCGCTCCCGGTGCCAGGACTCTCCTTTCAAGAGATAAAAGTGAGAATGAATTAACGTCAATAGTTAGATCCTTTGTACTACTCCTAACGCTCATGTGTTTTTAACTAGCTTCATTATGCATGTTGTTCAATCACGTCACATCTTCTCCTCCTCCTGGTGAGGACGCTTCACTGCAGCTCCTGTCGCTTTCGTACGCCACCATGGATGAAGCTGTGAGCTAGCACGGGAAAATCCGTCGTATGCTAATCTGCTGTGTTGATGAGCCTCGGTCGACTGTGACCGTGTCATTGTCATGTACTTGACGGATCATGTACGGCCCGTCAGCAACTGCATTAGTCTTGCTCCGTTGCTGCTTTGGAATACGAATCATGACACGATCTCCCGCGTTGTAGAAGTGCTCCAGGCGCTTCTCGTTTTCTCGATTGTTGTCGGATAAGATAGCTTCAAACCGACGCTTAGACATGTAGCTCCAGTTGGCTTTGTAGAGCTGTCGTGAGATCATGTCCTGTCCAAACAGAACTTGGGCAGGATATGCATTTAGTACACTGTGGTAGCTTGCACGCACTGCAAAAGCAGCATAGTAGAGAAAATTTTCCAGTCCACATCGCCATAGCTTCGAGCATCATTGAGCAGGTTGAGATGCACGCGTTCACAAATGGCGTTAGCTTGTGTTTTCTTGCTGTGATTGGCTTGGCCTTAATGCCATAGCTTCTGAGAAATTCCTGGAGCTCTGCGCCTGTGAATTCACGTCCTTGGTCGTGCACTACTTCGCGTGGTTGTGGATATCTACACAGCCTTTCTCGGTCAAATGCCGACCGCATTGTCTTGTATTGACGCGTGGCCGCTGGATGGCCCAATTTCTGGTGGTTCCAATCCATAAGATCTTCTCGCAGACTCTCGGGAACTACCACTCGGTACTAGAGTACATCCTAGTAGCGGCAGTAACTGATAGGAGAAAATATAACAAACACAGGTTAGAATCTGATCAACACAATACCTCTTCAACCACAATACGCACGGACAGAACAGACTCGGTCGCCCCGTGCACGGCTGCGCACAGCCTTCGGCTGGGAGGGGATGAGCACGCAACGTTAACAGAATGGAGAGTGGTGTTATCCACACTAAGACTTAGTAGCATAATGGTAGGACGGTTTGTGGCACTTTGGGTGGTGCACTTCAGTTTCCGTTAGTCCTCGAATCCCCTGCAGTCCCGAGAGCCTACGACGAGCAAGTCGCCGGCGGCGCACAGCACCCCCTTCAAGACCATGTCGGGCCTCAGCGCATACATATCTTTACGCAGCCGCAGAGCGAAGTTGCAGCGCGTCGGAGCTGCCACCGGAGGCACTCCACGCTGGGGACCTAATCGAGTATTATAGCAGAGCCTTCGTCTGCGGCGACAGGCTAGGATATTGGCGCGCCGTCGTCACTCGAGTGGACGAAAGCAACGACGTGGACTAAGTCATTCCAAAGGACTTAATGCTGAAGAGGTTGGCGGACTACGTCGGCACCACCCTGGGACCAAGCCAGAGCAAGAGGCGCAAGCTGAGAACCTTCATGTTGGTTTCTAGGACTTCTCGGCCCCGACGAAAGCTAGCGTACTAAATAGCGCGTTCCAATCCGCTGTTGCTGCGGCATACGATGCCTTGCGAGAGGATATTGTTGATGAAAGCGAGGAGATCGTCCCTGGGACCCCACAAAGTAGCGTGTGCAGTTCTCCTGAGGCTCAGGCTAATGTCGTCTCCGTGGAGGCACCCAGCACCCCGGCGCGGGCCGATACTCCAGATTAGCAGTCTTCTGACGAATTTACGGTGTCGAAGGAACCCTCCCTTAGCGAGAAGGTGACTTGCAGCTCCTCGCTTAGGGAGATTATTGACTGTGTCCCGGGGAAGGCGAGTGGAGCGTCTTCCAAGGCAGAGGCTGCAGCATACGTGCGGTCTGTACCCAACTGCTACACGCGCGTCAATATATGTCACCAGCCCAAGAAGAGAACGGCTCAGTGGCACGTTTCAAGGTCCCGCAAACGGCGACACCTGGCAAAGTGTGCCGTGCCGAAAAGCGGATCCAAACTGTATCATACTGAGGCGTTAAGACGTCAAGATTTATTCTCGGGTTCGTGCATTTTTTACTTTGTAGCGTTTCATATTTTCTAATACGGAACTACAGTTTATCGTCTTGCTTGGGTGCTACAGAGGCTTGAAGCTTTTCCAATTCTCAACTTCGTGTACTTGAAGCATACTTCAAGCAGAAGGATTGCATATTCGAATTGTCTGCTCACATTCCTATTGCACCACAGAAAACAAGACTATACTAACAAGCTCGCTCTGCGGCAGGTTGACGCTTTGTGAACGCTGGATCACTCGAAGCTCAGGGCAGCACCCACATCACGAGGCCGCCCTAGTTCGGGAAGTACAGCCACTGCACCACGCTTTATCTTCATACGACTTACCAACACCTCACGCCCACTTCTATCGACGTGCGCAGTCACACGCAGTGCATACAGCACGTGCACACAGGCGCCAAAACCAAAGAAGTAGTCGCACGGGCAGCTTTGCCATTGGATGTTCACGGGCCAACCGTCTACGGGCTGCCCCTCGTACTCTTTTCGCGCGTAGTTGCTGCCCATCTGCGCCGACACAGCAATCGCTTCCTCGGTGCGCTTGTTTGGGGCAACTAAAACTCGGCGGGCAGGCAGCGAAATCACACGAAGGATAGAGCATTCTCCGGAGCGCACGTACTCGACATGTTGGCCTGGTGCGAGACCTAGTAACCCCTCTCGCACCATCTCGGAGACCCTACGCGCGAGGGTCGGTGCTGGAATCACGGCATACTCGAAGGCTCTGGAGCTGCTGGATTGGTCCTGGCAGCAGCCACTGAGCTCGAGCAACAACGTTCCCATCTTTAGGCGACGGCGCAAGGTGTAGTCGCGCTTCAACAGCGCATTGAACGTCTCCGCCGGGTTGTTCGTCGAAGCGAAACCGCTTGGCGTGGCGAAGCGCTGCCATACCGCGAAGGGCCCTACGACCCATTGTCCGTAGAAGTACTGCACAAATGCTGTTAGGGTCGCTTCGGTCATCCAGCGGTGGAGAACAGCACGCAGCATCCCCGTATAGTGCGCTTGGTCCCGAGCAAAGTGCAGGTCGTATAGCTCCGTCAGGACACGAGCTTGCGAGTCCGAGGAAAGCATCTTAACCCGCTCCTGGATGTGCTTCATCACATGGAAGAAGCACATCAGGAAGCAAAACCGTGGGTTATCGCCAAATACCGACGACAGAGCATTAAATTGGGCTCTGTCGCCGTCAGCCATTGCGTATTGCACCGTCAGGTGCTTGTTCGTCATCCAAAAGTCGAGGCGCCGTAGCGACAAAAGCGCATTCCGGAAAATAGACTCCGTTTCTTGAGATATAATGAACATAGCGACCAAATGAAAGCGGCGCGAGCGGTCGGACACCCCCACTACCAGCACGGGTTAGTCCATCCTGTTCGTCTTGTAGGTGCCGTCCAGGTGCAGTATGAAGCTCTCTGGCGGCACCATTAGGCGTAGCATTAGAGCCTTCGTCGAGATGCCGACCAAGAACGGCTTTCTGTCCGAGCCGTTCCCGACGAGGGGCAAACCTTCGTTGTCCAGCTCCCACGTGAACGTAAAGGGCTCCGTCATGTCCTTCGAGTGGTCGTACGCTTGCTGGCGAATCCACCTCTTTAAGTCCTCGACTCGGTCATGGTTCTCTAACCGCGAGCGGGCGTAGTGGTTTACAAAGTTTTGTACGGTCTTGAGAGCGGGGAGCTCCTCCAGCGGGGTAGCGAATTTGCGGGCCAGCGCGTGCCTGATGCGCATGGGTCTCATGTGGCTCTGGACCAACTCTCGGACGAAGGCCTTCTGAGGCTGGGTGAGCTTCTTGCGCACCGGTGAGGAGGTGGAGGAGACCGTGTTGTGCTCTCCGGAGTCGTAGATGGACGCGTGCTCGGACTCCAAGCACGTGACCACCTTCCCCCGCCAGGGGCACTTCACGGGGCTCGCCTCTTTGCATGCACTCCAATAGACGATAGCGCATCTTATGGTCTCCTTCAGGGCAGATAGTACACCCCATGACTTGCGACTTTTCAATGTCGAACGACTTTAGCTTCGCGAACACCACCTCGGTCCCGACGGCGTCCACATTGACGGCGAGCTCTCGCCAACTAACTTGCGGCGGCATACTCGATCGCGATTGCTGTGCTGGAATGGTGTGGCTCACACTG